ACAAAAAGAGCTCTTGCGGTTGTGGCATTCCTTCGAACAGTGTCGGAGGCAGCTCGAGGCGCTGGTAGGAGCAGTCACGTCAAGCCGGTCCGGGGCAGGCTCTTCTCTCAAATCTTTCATCATCTTTCAAATTCTTTTCAATTCACCTTCGCTACCTACCTACCACTTCTCCTAAGGCTTATACAGGGGACCCCTACAAACATAGCTTTGTTGTCTCCCTCCAGGCATCAGAGGGGATGCATGTTGTCCCCCGCCCCAACCATGGTGGTCAAGGATGGGGTGGGGCCGCGGGTGGGGGTCCGGCTAACGCATTTTGCCAGTTGCTCCGCCTCCCTTTTCATCGTCCCCCACCCCCAACCTAATAACAGCAGTGTCTAAGGCCAACAGTGCCACCACTAACTCGTTTTTGTGACTCTATTTAAACCACCAGTACTTGGCCCAGCTATCGGCCGCGGTGCTTTCCCGTTAACGCGCCGCGCCTTTAGGGCTTCGGGGTACCGGACCAGAATGGCTGGAAGCGCCAGCCAAAAAAAATTCAAAACGGTACCCCGGCACTTCGACGAAAATTGAAAAAGAATATAAAATAAACCTGTTGACACTGAACTTGCTTCCGCATACTGGACCGAAATGGCAGGCAGTGGCCGTCGGAAAACAAAAAGCACAACCATACCATATGCATTTTTCATTTACGTGCACCACTTACATCCATATTGGGGAAAAAATGGTCTGAGATACCGGCGGTTCAAGTGCACTCCATACCTTTTCAATATACTCGCGCATGACACGGCCTCTGTGGAGTAGGCAGATGCACTCGACATAGCTGCAGGTAGATTGGAGCCCATGCTAACTCGCATGGCCTCCAATTTCAAAAGCCGGTTCCTCGTTGCTGAAATCAGTCACTGCTTGCGGGAAAAGTAAAATGGGCTGGAAAGGGGAACACGAAAGAGAGTATGTTTAAGTCCCGCCACAAAACCTGAGCTGGGGAAAATTTCCGAGCCTTCCATATCAACTAGCAACCCAACAACTCTTTTCACAGCTTTTGGCCTTCACTTCATTTCACTTTTGATGGCAGTATTGATACCATTTGAGTGAATCCTCGTCTTACGTTCTGATGGACGCTACGAGATTCTCTTTAAAAAAAAAAAAAAAAAAAAAAAAAATCTTTTTTCGCCCGTTCACCGTTCCCTTAGATGGTGGCTGAAGGCAGCTAAGGACCCTTTCGCTCACTCGTGATCAGTTTATATCTGATCCGTGGTCCATCGGGCCACATGATATTAAATTAATTTTTCAAGGCTACGGAGGGGTCGTAGGGGTAGGCTTGCCTGCTTGACCCATCCAGCGTTGCCTTCGTCTTGCACTGCAGCGAAGCGTGGCGCAGCCCACAAAAAAAAAAAAAAAAAAAAAAAAAAAAAAAAAAAAAAGGCAGGTGTACATTGCCAAGTTCTCCGCCACGCGCTACACTCCGCATTTTCCAAACTTCGATTTAGTGGAGCAAGTCTCATAGTTAGTTTTCAATTTTTCAACCAGAAAAGAGTCTCCACGAAGTGCCAAAATAAATATTTGCCCTCGTTTGACAGCGTTTGCTTTTCTTTTGGTTTCCTTTTACACGCGAAAGTACACCCGATCCAGCGCTGCAGTTCCGTGAAGAAGTCCTTGCAGGTGCACCTTCGCCCTCCCCTTCTTTTTTCTTCTGTATCATTTTTTTTTTGTTTTTGAATGTGTGTCATCCTACCAGTAGTGCAGGGGCCATGGGAATCTCCACCGAATTGTTCCAATCTTAACGGTCGTCCCCTCCTTTCTGTTTCAAAGCCTGGTTGACCCGGAGAGTGCATTCGATACATAAACATACCGCCCTGAAAAAAAAACTATCAGAGCAACGCAAGAAGCGTTCACCCCACTAGCAGTTCATAGGCAATCATTTGCTGGTTCGCGTCACACAAACCCCATAGTTCAAACTTGTGATACGATCGTCATCACAGATTTGTCAGTCCCGATCGTCTACCATATGTGAGAGAAGCCGCACGAGGGCGTCGGCCAGCCTGTGCTGGGCCCAATACATAAATGATGGAGAACTTGCAGAGCGGCGCAGAAGCGTCTAACCACCACCGATTTAAGGGCCAGTTCTCGACAGCTTGAATTTTCAATTTTGGGCCCAACAAAATTGAATTTCATGGGCATACTACCATTCCCATACCGGGTACAACATATTCATCCTCCCCTCCYCCCCCCCCCCCCCCCCCCCCCCAAAAAAAAAAAGAAAAAAAAAAACTACATGTTCATTCCACATAAGGAAAGTCCGATGTCCCACTGAAATCAGAAACCCTGCAGTGTCCTTCGGGACATCCGTTAAAATTGGAACGATACAGAGAATGAAGATTAGCATGGCCCCTGCGCAAGGTTGACACACATAAATCGAGAAATGGAAACCCTGCAGTCCAGAGGTTGTAGCATTCTGTTCTGGCCCACATATGTGCTGGCAGTAAGAGGATACTCACACGAGCACTTTTCAATTTCAAAATGCACCTAACCGCAATCTCAGGCTGACCTGGATGAACCTGACTGCAATCAGGTCCAGAGCTTTGTAGGAAATCCTAGTGTGAGTATGCCCTAAGTTGTCTCAGGCATTACCTGATCCTGGCCTTTAGATTTGGCGACACGGGTCTAATTAATTACTAATTAGATCCTGAAGTTGGCTAGCCCACATTGCTCAAGAGCAACTCCACAGTTTGAGGTCTGTCCCTCTGGATGTTCACGGAATTTAATTCCCAGCAGCCTTCGACAAAATAGGGCTTTTGGACCACCAGTACTTTCGGGCCATTTTCGGGCCCTTGAGGCCGCGAGATGCCCTCAAGGGCCTCCTTTTGGCAGTTGCCGCGAGCCATTCGCTCCAGCGGCCAACCCCCAAAAGTGCCGTGTTCATGCAAGCCGCATCGGAGACCACCAAAAGTTGCAGTGCCCATGCAGCCGCATTGGAGAAAAATAGCAGGGGAACGTGCTGGTAGTTTAACTGAGTGGGCCTCGTCAAGTCTGGATGCACTGGAGGAAGGGCTGCATAAATTGCATAAATTACAAGGAGGATTCTCATGCCCGACCGGTCACCTGGACGTGCAAAAAAAAAAAAAAAAAAAAAAAAAAAAAAAAAAAAANGGGGGAAGGGGGGTACAAATTGGGTTTGAGGGCTAAAGGGGCTTAAACTTTAAAGGGGGGTGCCTTTGTGTGATTCTGTTATTTTTATTTTCTTAACTCCGATTCTGTGAGGAAATAAAATGTGAGCTGCAGCCGAAACTTGGCTCGAAAGTCGTTTGTATTTCAATTCCACACAACACTTTTTTTTCCAGAATTTTTTTTTATTTTTTTATTATTATTTTTTTGGCCGTGGGGCTGCCCTGAACCCTGCCCGGGGGTCATGCCCGGCTGGGCATCCGGCGTGTACCTGAGCATAAGTTGGGTGCCCAGGCGCCCGGAAAAACGACCTACATAAATTGCATAAATTGCAGCCAACCAGGCACTGTGAGGTCGAAACTGCGCTCTTTAAACCCCACCAGTACTTGGCGGCCCATACCTCGGACGCGAGCCTTGCACGTTAACGTGCCACCGCACATTTCGGGGGTTCAGAATCTTCAGATCACTTCGTTTTTTTTCGGCGCGCAGGGCGAGTACTCGTTTCACTGGCAGTGCCAACCAGCCAGGGGAGCACCTCCCTAGGAAAACCAGGTCGACCCGATGTTTAAAAATCTAGCCTTTTCTGTCCGACCATGGGGTGGGTGGGGTCAGGGGAGCACCTCGGGCAAAAACCTCCGCCCCCCCCCCCCAAAAAAAAGGATCGACATCGGACCATGATTGCGCATCATCTCAACTTTCACTTCAATTTGAGTGTGGTGGGTGAACCGGTGGGGTGGGGGGGGTCAGGGGTAGATTTTTAAACCTTTTTTTTTTTTTTTAATTAACAAATGCTCCAATCTATTCGTGGGGGGGTCAGGGGTCAGGGGTAGACTATGAAGTTTATAAACAGGTTTTAAAGGGCCAGTGCGGTGGACGTGAAAATTGCCAAACCGAACTGTGTTCGTACCTGCATGAAATGAACCGGTTCCCCGGCGGGCCTTTACATTGATTGTCGAAGCTGATTGTTTTTTTCACCCCTGAATAAACTGAACCAGTTCCCCACCAGGCCTTTACGTTGAAAGGGCAGCCTCCTTGTAAGGCGCCCGAAGTTTTAAGAGGAGCGGGCTCATACTGGTGGTTCTCTGAAAGGGGTTCCAACTTCGAAGTTCGAACGGGTATATTTTAACTCCCGTTTTCTATTCTATTTTTATCTCGAAATTAGTAAGGAATGCCAAGGTAACCCTCAGCCAAAGTTGTTGGCATTTAAAAAAAGGAAAAAAAAAAAAAAAAAAAAGTTGTTGGCATTGCAAGTTTATACAACACTGAGCATACCTTTTTTTCCCGAATTTTTTTATTTTTATTTTTATTTTACTTCATCGTTTTAATGTCTTGCAGTGGGACAGTCCAGCACCCTGAGTGGAACATGCCCGGTCAGGCATGCCCAGGTGGGTACACCGAGCTTGAGGCAGTCCAGGCCACCTGGCTAAAAGCACAGCTTCAAAGCACATCTGCATCGTCATTGTGACAAATTACAAAACGTTTGATATAAACGTCATTTAGCTATCAAATTTGCAAACACACCTACTTAGAACACACACACACACGTACACACACACACACACACACACACACACACACACACACACACACACACACACACACACGCCCATGAGCACACACACATCCACCCACCCACCGTCTTCCCCCGAACATAACGCACCCTGAAAA